TACCGTCTACAGAATGTACTGAACATGTAACCAAATTTAACAGGAATGACAATGCTGCCCTCGTGTGGTAATGATGTGAATATGCATCACTGTATTTACAGTAATACAACTCAATTCTATAAATAAAATCTTTATAAACAGAACTAAATGAGTAATATTAGCGTTTGTAAAAAATATTCAGGCTCCTTTGCTTTTAGGGAGCATTATGCGATGAGCTTAAATAATGGATAAATAAATTAATATTCTAATAAAAAAATCTAATTCTGAGATGAAAAGGAATAATATTTATATGTGGAAAGAAATCTGTTTTATTGACATTTTAATTATTAATTATATTAATATTATTCGTAATGAATTTAGCGATATTAGCGAACAATAGTTGTATTAAATATTTGAATTATTTTTTAACAATTAATATTTTTTAAAATCATTCATCCATTTTTTTTTTCGCTTAGTCCCTTTATTAATATACAGTCGCCGCAGCGGAATATGTTTTACTCAGCGGATGCCCTTCCAGCTGCAACCCATCACTGGGGAACACCCATACACTCTCATTCACACACATACAATACGGACAATTTAGCTTACTCAAGCTTACTATAGCGCATGTCTTTGGACTAGTGGGGGAAACCGGAGCAACCGGAGGAAATCCACGCCAACACGGGGAAAACATGCAAACTCCACACAGAAAATGCCAAATAGCCTGGCCGGGACTCAAACCAGCAACCTTCTTGCTGTGAGGCGATCGTGCTAACCACTGAGCCACCGTGTCGCCCTGTAAGCGGATATTGCTATATATTAAATAAATAATAGTGTCATTAATTACGTTTTCAATGCCAACACTGCCCGCCGTGACATCTGAGTCTTCCCTGTTGCAGATTTTCATTTTGACACCGACTTTTTATAAAAATAAGTCTAAGCGTAGTGATATAAGAGTGACAGGTGGAGTAAAGAGTAGTGCTCTTCTCTGCCGCTTTTAAATCATGGGACCAGAGATCAGATTTCTACAAATATAGCTCCTCTAGCAGGCCACGCACAGCTTTCATTCATATCATTTTCCCCCAATTATGAAGTATGACTTCAGCTCTAGTCAATTATGATGCAACACAGGCCCACGTTTAAAACAATACTCACACTCCAGCTTGACTTATTATTGCATTTTAGATCATTGATTTTTCCATGCAGACACTTCACTTTTAAATCACATTCCTGCATATAAAAGTATTGCAATCAGGGCTGAATATGATATAAGTAGAATTAGAAAATGGATGTACAATATAAATATAATAATAAAATGATTCATCCATTCATTTTTCTTTGGCATTGTACCTTTATTTATCAGGGGTCGTCACAGCGGAATGAACCCCCAACTATGCTAGCATATGTTTTACACAGCGTATGCCCTTCCAGCTGTAACCCAGTACTGGGAAACACCCAGACACACTCATACACATACACTAAGGCCAATTTAGTTAGTATTGAATTCACCTATAGCACATGTCTGACTGGACTGTGGGGGAAAGTGGTGGAGGAAACCCACACCAACACGGAGAGAACATGCAAACTCCACACAGAAACACCAACTGACCCATCCGGGCTCGAACCAGTGACCTTCTTGCTTTGAGGCGACAGTGCTAACCACTGAGCCACCGTGCCGCCCCATAATAGAAATATAATATTATAAAAAGAATGTGCAGGTCTGAAAAAAAGAGAAAAATTCACAGTTTCTCTGTATTCGTATGGGTTTGGAGTAAAATAATAGTATTTGATGTATTTCATAAATGTCTGAAAGGATTTCCTCCAAATCAAACAAAAATGTAAACACTGATTCATTAATTTATATTTCTGGAGTTAAAACATTAGTATTGTATTGACTAAAGTGAATAATAACTATTATTTCTAAAATAAATTTTAAATAAATATTTATATTTATTTAAATATAATAATAATAAATATTTATTTTTAATTATATTTAAAATAATTTTAAAATCTGTTTTATTAAATAAAATAAACAAAAAAATTATTATTTTAAAGTTATAATAATAATAAAGATATTAACAATAATAATAAGTAAGTAATATTAATAATAAAGACAATATTAATCATAAAGCAATAATAATAATAACAAAGTAAAAATAATAGTAAATATAATAATAATAACAATAATAATAAATTATATAATAATTATAAAGGTAATAAAAATATTAATAATAAGGAAAAATAATATTATATTATTATTAATTATAAAGTAATAATAATAATGAAGTAATTATGCTACTAATGATAATAATAATAACAATAATAATAATAATAATAATAATAATAATAATAATAATAATAATAATAAAAGCTCAAAATTAGACATTTTTTATTTTTGGGATAAATATTGTCAAATAATGATTCATTAATTTATATTTCTGGAGTTAAAACATTAGTATTGTATTGACTAAAGTGAATAATAATTATTATTTTCTAAAATAATTTTAATAAATATTTATATTTATTTAATAATAATAATAATAATAATAATAAATATTTATTTTTAATTATATTTCAAATAATTGTAAAATTCAAAATATTTTTGTTATATTAAATAAAATAAACTAACAGATAAATGAATTTAAAGTTATAATAATAATAATAATAATAATAATAATAATAAAGATAATAAAGATAATAATAATAATAATAATAATAATGATAATAATAATAATAATAATAAAGATATTAAGATAATAATAATAATAATAATAATGATGATGATAATAATAATAATAATAATAATAATCATAATCAAAATCATAATAATAAAAGCTCAAAATTAGACATTTTCTATTGTTGGTATAAATATTATGGATATTTTATAGAATACAATTTTTTTTTAAATAATATACTCAATACCATAAAGTAAATCGAGAAAGTACTACGGTAACACAAAGAAGCTACAGTAAAGTAACTAGTGTTACTGAAAAAAATTTAACAAAAATTTATTTAAATAACAAATAAATAAATATTCATATTAATAAATATTCTATGAACATTATTTCATCAAAATATCCACTGACTTTTATATGTTGCACTCAAAAAGGGGATAAATACTGCAATGATGAAGTTAACATTTCACTTACCTCCTTTAAACTGACAATAAATTTACTAAAGACAGATAAAGAAGAGGATTTTGAAGGTAGAGGATGTTGTAGTGATAATGATTATAAAGATGAAAGTGATTGAGGTACAGGGCAGTACCACCAACCTGATTTCACCAAGTAGGGCGTGATCCTGGATTCACATCTACTGTATGTTGATCCTGGAACAACATTCCAATCAGCCAATCAGAATTAAGCCATATGTTTACCGTTTATGGCTTACGATTAGGTTTATGCAGTTCTATGAATGTAATCCAACTATTATTCCCCTCTGATTTTGTGAACAATATACAGTTATGTACAATTGGGTGTAGCGAATAGGTATTACATTTTCCAACAAAAATGATGTTCCAGGATCAACAGAGATGTTAATCCAGGATCGCATCGCACTTGGCAAAATCATGACGTGTGTACAGTACAGTGCAGTGCAGTACATGCAAAAGCAAATGAACAAAACTGAAGACAATGATTTTAATGGCACTGTGGTACATTTTACAAATAGCGTATTATGAAGAAACACACAAAGAAAAGAACAGAAGAAAGCGAAATGAAAATGAACAGAAGACAGCAGTCAAACTAAAAATGAACATTTTTATAACTACCTCCCTCCCTAAGTTTGTTTTATTTAAAGTTCTTCTAGTAGATCTGCTAGAAATATTAAAGCAAACAAAAAAGTGAATATAAATTCCTTCCTTAAAATAAAATAATCCAACACAAAGTCAACTTAATCGACATAAAAAGTAAAAATGAAGGTGCTCCGACTATGCACCAGCTGTTAAATGGGTGTTACTATTCAACCTACTTAAAAGACTCACACTCTGAGTACATTCATTTCTGTATTGAAAATCCTCTTGAAAGTTAAAAAGATAACAATGTTTTTTTTTCCCCTCGTAGGTTGAGAAATGATTGAACTTCGTTTATCGTAATACATTCTGTCTCTTTGTCATACAGTTTCTCCTGTTGGCTCTGCCAGAAGTTAATACATTGCTTACTTGCATATTCCAACTGTCATTACACTGTGCATATATACAGTTGAGGTCAGAATTTTTAGCCCCCCTGTTTATTTTTTGCCTGTTTTCTGTTTTGAGCAGATTTTCTCAACACATTTCTAAACGTAATTGTTTTATTAACTCATTTCTAATTGATTTATTTTATCTTTGCCATGATGACAGCAAATAATATTTTACTAGATATTTTTCAAGACACTTCTATACAGATTAAATTGACATAAAGGCTTAACTAGGTTAATAAGGGTTAACAAGGCAGGTTAGGGTAATTAGGCAAGTTATTATAAAATGATGGTTTGTTCTGTAGACTATCGAAAAAATCTATTAAAGAGGCTAATCATTTTGACCTTAAAATGGTGTTTAAAAAATGTAAAACTGCTTTTATTATTGCTGAAATAAAACTAATAAGACTTTCACCAGAAGATAAAATATTATCCGACATACTGTGAACATTTCCTTGCTCTGTTAAACAGCATTTGGGAAATATTTAAAAAAATTCAAAGTGGCACTAATAATTCTGACCTCAATTGTTTATATATTTCTGTGTGTCCGCTGAGGTTTAGTGTGGAAAAACTGATACTGCAAACCCCTCTGGATGTCATCTAAAGCTTGTATAGGCTGTATTGCAAATCAGTTTCTCAGAAATCCTCATAACAGACTATCTGCTTGTTAAGTGTGACGTCACGCGAAGCGGCTTCCAGATCCAAGCGCTCTAGATTAAACTGTATGGGGAGACTCAATAAGTGGTAATAATAAACGTTTACAAAGCTCTGTAATAATTTCGAAAATCACAATCGCTATATATATATGTCTTAATAAATTTTTTTTTTGTCTTTGATGCAGCAAGTCCAGAGATTGATGTGTACAGCATAATTTTATTTTAAATTTTATGTGTGATATGACTAAAAAGTGGCTATAAACAAATATTTTCTCAATTGAAATGAGTAGCATATGGACCTGGAAATAGTATTACATACATCACCGGTATGTAGGGCCAGACGGAATCTGTGGACGTTTTTTAGCTATTTCTGCAGAGAATTTTGGTAAAAATCTGCGGATTTCTGTGGAATTATTTTGGTTGTATCATAACTAAAACCTTAATATGTGAAATAAAAATAATATCTTTTAAAATTTTATTTAATGTTTAAAATGCAAATACAATTAGATCCATTTAATTTGGTAAACAAAGCAAGTCACTCATAAAATATCTCTACTAAAAGACAGAAAATATTACTTTACACACTGCATTGTAACATAAATCAGATGAACATTTTCATATTCATCAATAATATTACTGTAATTAATTAAAAAAACTGAATAAATATAGATATTACACACATTTACTCAAGTAAATAAACAGAATCAATGATGGGCTTAAAATCTGCAGAAAATCTGCTCGCAGATTCCATGTGGGCCTACTGATATATCACGACTTAACAAGCGGATTTTGCTATCATCTCTTACCTTTTCATCTACATTATTAAGCCTTCATTTTTCTTTTCTCAATCTCAACACTGATTCCCTTTGACCAAACATAAAGTCTTAAGCATTTAATTGGTTATTTTTGAGTTAAATACAAGAATGCTTATGTGAAGGTCTATAAATATCAGTATTCGGCAGAGCATTCTTCTATAAACACTGTGTGATATATTGCTTGTATTTTGAAATGGCTTCAAAATGTTACCCATCTGGTAGGTCTTTGAAACATTGCGCTTCTACTTAAAATATCTGCATCTCAGCTTAAAGGGATAGTTTTCCGAAAAATAAACATTTACTTACTATTTACTCAACCTGAGGTAGTTCCAGTGTTTCATGTTTTTTTTTTCTTCTTCTGTCAAACACAAAATAAGATATTTTGAAGAATGTTGTAGCCACTGACATCCATTGCAGGAAAACCCAGCCTGATCTCACGAGGAAACGTAAATATTTTATGTATTGTCAGAACTGTCAACTTATCGAGCATATGTTTTACACAGCGGATGTCCTTCCAGCTGCAACCCAGTACTGGGAAACACCCATACACTCTCGCATTCACACACATACACTACGGCCAATTTTGCTTATTCAATTCACATATACCGAATGTCTTTGGATTGCCGGGGGAAACCAGAGCACCCGAAGGAAACCCACGCCAACACAGGGAGAACATGCAAACTCTACACAGAAATGCCAACTGCCCCAGTTGGGACTCGAACCAACGACCTCCTTGCTGTGAGGCATGAGTGTTTACCTCTGAGCCATCGTGCCCCTAAACCCCACCCTTAAACCTATCCATCATTGGAGTGTGAGCAATTCATACTATAATGTACGCATGAGACTGAACAAATGAATATGAATATCCCATAAGTCTAAATGTTATGAGTTAATGTGTGATTGCATTGGGAAAAAAAACTAAATCTTTAAAATATCTTATTTTGTGTTCAACAGAAGAATAAAACTCAAACATCTTTGGAACAAGTTTTGTTTAGAAGCAAACTATCCCTTTAAGGCAGGGGTGTCCAAGCCCTGGAGGGCCGATGTCCTGCATAGTTTAGCTTCAACTTCTTTCAACACACCTGCCTGGAAGTTTCTAGTATACCTAGAAAGTGCTTGATTAGCTAGTTCAGGTGTGTCTAATTGAGGTTGGACTAAAATATGCAGGGTGCACGAGTTTGGACACCCCTGCATTGAGGTAATAACATGTCGGAAAATCCCTATTCAAAAAAACTATTTTTCAGCAGTGCCTGGCTTCCAAACCTGGGCAGCGCTTTTCTTGGCTGAAAATTTAGGCTTGGGGGCAGCAGTAACACTGCTTCCTGAGGCAGAGTCAGCCCTTGCTGCTACTTGGTAAGATGGAACAACATAAGAACTAGGGGCTTGTTGGTAGGCCATTGCAGGTCCAGTTTGATAGGCTGGAGTAGGACCTGCCTGGTAGGAGGGTGGGGAGGACTGTTGGTAGGGAGGGCTTGGTGCCTGTTGGTATGCATTTAAAGGGGGTTGTTGGTAAGCTTGTTGGGGGTTGTATTCCTGTTGATATTGGACTTGATGAGGATGTTGCTGATAAACATTAGGAGTAGGTTGATATGAATTTGGAGGGGCTTGGTGGTACATGCCATCATGCATTGGTGGCTGACCAGCCATCCCGTAAGGTTGCTGGGCCTGAGGCGGCATAAAACCATAAGGGGGAGGGCCTTGGTTATATGCCATTTGCTGGTTTTGAGCTTGAATTTGGGCCTGAGCCTGGGCTTGGGCTTGAGCCTGAGCCTCAGCTGCTTTTTGAGCTGCAAGCTTTTCAGCTGCCTCTTTTTCTGCAGCAAGTTTCTCTGCCGCTGGGCCATAAGTGAAAAGGGAGGAATTCAGCTGATAGGGCTGATGCTTCATGACATCAAGAACATGAAGAGGTTTCGGGGCAGGTTTTCCCTTGTCTTTGCTTTTGTTTTTGTTTGCTGTGGAAGAGCTAGAGGAGGGAGACTGCTTGACAGCACCTGGGGGATATGATGGTGAATGAATTGGATTATAAGCCAAAGGTGGGGGTGCCCGACAATTGGGTGAATATTTCCAGGAAGTTGGCAAAGAAGGAGAAGGTGAAGACGGTCTTGCCTTATTTGACTGCACTGTGGTAGAATCCACAATGTACTTCTCCATTCTGGATTGCCTCTTGGCGAAAAGTTCTGCCCCTTTCCCTTTCAATGCCGGCATCTCAAAAGCCGAACCAAAACCATGGGATGCCACAGTACTGCTTGCTGGCACGGGAGATGGTACTTTTGTCCCAGTGGTATACGAGTTGATTCGACGTGGAGGAGTGGGCTGAGGTGGACTCCACTGCTTAATTGGTTGGGCAGGCAACTTTTGGCTTTCAACTGAACCTTGTGGGTTTTGGGGAGCCCAAGTATTTACAGCTGGTTGAGACTGTGGTGGTGCCCATTGGCTCACAGGTGGCTGTGATGCTTGCTGTTGAGGTTTTGGTACCCATGGAGGATGTGCCTGGGGATGAGTTGGTGGCATTCCTTGAGCCCAGGGAGGCTGAATTTGATTCTGCTCAGGTGCCCAAGAGTTCATTACTTGTTGAGGGTGTTGTTGAGAAGTAGGTTCTTGTCCCCAGTGTGGTTGTGGTTGGGGGTGGGGTGGCATTTGTGTCCAAGGATTCACAGGTTGCTGCAATTGTGCTGTGGGCTGAGGCGGTGGTTGACTCTGCTGAGGCCATTGAGGCTGTGCTTGAATTGGACTCTGTGATTGAGTCCATGCATTTACCGGTGGCTGTGCTGGTTCTTGCTGTTTGGCCTGAGAGACCCAAGGTGGCTGTGGCTGTGTCTGCCTCTGAGGTTGAGCCCAAGGAGGCTGTGGCTGTTGCTGAGGGGGTGGTGCCCAATGTGGCATTAACTGAGATTCTTGGAATTGTTGCTCCTGGGTCCAGGGTGGTTGTTCTTGAGCTTGATTTTGATCTTGTTGCCAAACACCAGTAGATGGTTGTGATGGTTGAGACCATGGGGCTTGTGATGTTGGATTTGGTGCCCAAGCATTTATTTGGGACTGAGGCTGTGGCTGATGCTTGAGTTGGGGTGAGGATTGAACCTGAGTTACCCAAGAAGGCTGGGACTGAGTTTTAGGAGGCACTTGTGATTGTACCTCTGGAGGAGCTTGAGATTGCGTCATCCACTGTGGCTGTGTTTGAGATGGGACTTGCATTTGGACTTCATTTGGACCCCAACTACTTACTGGATTCTGCTCATGACCTTGGGTTAAGGCTGGATCCCACGATCTGGCAGATGGATCTGACTGGGTAACAGGTGGTGCCACAGGATGAGAAGAGTTCATTTGTAGCTGTGGCTGTTTCTCATTCCAGGTTTCTGGTTGCTGGTTCTGCTCCATCTGAGCTTCCGGTTGTTTCCAGGCATGAGCTGGAGCAAGTTCTTCAGGACTGTGTGAAACATCATGAGATTCAGAGGCCAACGTAGGTTCTTCTTCAGACGTGACTTGGACTCCCAATTTAGGGGTGGGGACAGGAGCAGCATCAGCCATTGTGACTGGAGCTTCTGCAGGTCCTGGGACACTGTTTTCAACTTGCAGTGTGTTAGGTTGGTCAGCGTTTTCTGGACTAGTCCATGGAGGAGAAGCAGGGTTAATGTGAGGTTTCGGAGCTACTGGAGGTGGAGTTTTGTGTTTCATCTTAGGGGACTGAAGAAAGTTGCATGCCTCAGCCCCTAAGCTTAAATAATCTTCTTCTGGGCAAGACTCAAAACCTGCTTTCTTGTCATTCCTGTTAAGGAGATTCAACAGAGCGGGATTAGGTGAAACCTTGGGAGACTCTTTAAAAGTGAACATAGGTTTACTGGCATTCCTCCTCCTTGTGTCTTGCAAGATACCAGTCTTGATAGCAGGTACAGATATACGCTCATCACGGGAGGCGATCTGTTCACCTTGCCCTAAAGAATACCCAGATTGTTCTTGATTGTCTGCATTTGGAGGGGAGGAAAATGGAACAGCTACTCTGTTTTGAGTTGAAAATGGTTTGGCACTCCTGTTTGCTACTGATGCCTGCATTTCATTCTGCGTTTGCTGATCATACATCCCATTCATTTGATGTGAGTACTGTTCAACTTTCTGCTGTTGGAAGTGTTGTTGCTGATTGTATGATTGCATTTGTTGATACATTTTTTGCTGCTGATATTCTTGCTGTTGTTGATACTGATGTTGTTGTTGTTGTTGGTATTGTAGCTGCTGTTGGTAGTCTTGATACTGCTGCTGCTGCTGCTGCTGTTGATAGTATTGTTCTTGGTACTGATGATATTGTTGTTGCTGTTGCTGTTGCTGCTTTTGAGCAGACATGCTGTGGTGTAAATTTACATCCATGTAATTCTGGGTCTCTTGGGCATGCATATAAGCATGCTCCTCCATGTGTTGGTATGTTTGATGAGTCTCAGGCTCCTGCACTGCTTCAACAGGGATCCCCTTACGTCTCAGCTCTTCATGCTCAGCTACTATCTCATCCATGCGCTGTTTGCGCTGGGCAAACATGAGTGCTCCTTTACCCTTGGTCTCAGGCAGAGCTTCCATATCCTGCTGGTTGTCAAGCTTGCGTTCTATCTCGAGTAATCCAGTATCCCAATCAAAGCTCACAATACTTTTCTGAGCTGAGGCATTGGTGAAGAAATCGGTACCAATTTCTTTTTCACTTGTGGCTAGGACAGTGAACTCAACAGCATGTTCCTCCTTGTCACTGTCGTCGTATTCGTCTTTATAATCGGACTCGTCCTCACCAGTACCGTAGCTGACAAGAGTATACTTCTTGGCTCTTTGTCTATGCTTCTTAAACATCAACACCCCCTTATTATTGGGGTTGGGGGCCGGAGCAGACAGCAGAAGAGCAATGCGCTTGCATTTGGACTTGGCCTCTTTCACCTGCTTCTCTGAAAGACTCTCACTGCGCCGGAGCCCTAAGAATGACAAAAAAGGAGTTTAGGGTATCGAGCGGCTGAGGTCATAAACAAGAGCTATTGCTCATGGCTTGCCCTGGTGGCCTTATTCACTGAACTGTGCATATGAAGCATATAAATAGCACAGCTATGTGAGCAGTTAACTAGTATAACTTGAAACCAAAGCCACAATTGTTTGTTTAAAATGTTTAAAACGGGTGCTCAACCCTGTTCCTGGAGATCGACCTTCCTGCAGTTTTCAGTTGCAACCCATATCAAACACACCTGCCTGTAATTATCAAGTGCTGTTCAGGTCCTGTTTAATTGGTTCAGGTGTGTTTGATCAGGGTTGGAGCTGAAATTTGCAGGAAGGTCGATCTCAGGGAACAGGGTTGAGCAGCCCTGGTTTAAAATTTGTGGCAATGGCAATTTTAATTGAGATGTTGTTTGAAACACAGGATTTTAAAAGACTGGACAATACGAGATAATGGAGTCTAGAAACAACAAGAGTTTACATCCTCTGACCTATATTATTCCCAATGATCCAATAAATCCTGCTCCAATAAGAGACCTGACATCACTCTCGCCAATTAACTAAATCTGTGATCCATGTATAACAGCCAGACACTAACATAGGACACTTACAGAGAATGTGTCTAGAGCACGTTAGCGAGGTTAACCCAATAGCAAACCTAGCAAAAGAAAAAAAGGGGTAAAAATAGCCCAGTAGGCTTGCAAGTGGCATGAGTGCTAATACAAGCCCATATGTGTAGCTCCCAAAGCTGTAAATAAAGACACTGTCCTGTTGCAGTCTGTTTACACAGAAGTGCTTTAAAGCCCCATAGTCCCACCTGACTGTGTCAGTCTTTTTAAAAAAAAAGGTTTGGTTAAAATGTGACACATTTCTAATTCTTGTCTTTCCAATCTCAAGGTGAAGATTTGAGCGCTCCTTCCTTTTCAGTGCTGCTAAGATGGCCAATTTTAAAGGATCGGGTAACAGGCCAGAGTCACACATGCTGATGTCTGTCAAATGGCACTTCTGCCAGCATCATTAGCATGCCCGTGTTTTATTCTTAACTTTACCAGTCATGTCACCCTGCAAGCCCCCACCCATAACTGCCACAGTGAATCAATGCTCCTTTCCTTTTTATTCTATCTATCTATCTATCTATCTATCTATCTATCTATCTATCTATCTATCTATCTATCTATCTATCTATCTATCTATCTATCTATCTATCTATCTATCTATCTATCTATCTATCTATGCATGCTCTTGTTCACAAATCACAGAAAGTATTCAGAATACACAAACAACTGCGGTTAAAAATACATATAAAATGCGCATACACTTGTTAAACCCTTTTCATTTAGTACTTTAAACATTATGAGCACAAGCAATCCACAGACTCCATCAATTCTAAAGCATTTAAAAAACGAAACACTTACTATTCTTGCAAACAGATACCAAACCACACCATAAGAAGCAGCGCAATGAAAATCAGATGTCACTTACTGGCGTGCCTTGCCCGGTGCTTGTTGGGCTGGTAGACCTCCCGCTCCGATTCGGAGTCCCACTCCTCTGAGGGAAGTCCAAAGGACACAGAGGAGGAGGTGGGAGCTTCTTCAATGTTCCCTCCTTCTTCCCCACCAGAATCCAACCGTTCACTGGCCTTCCCCCCCTCCTTTCCTGAAGCAGAAATCTGCTGCACTGTTACCTCCACCTGTCCTGGCAAACAACTGGCTTTGCTAATCAACACACCCCGCTGACCAAGGGGTTGCCGGTTTTGTCTGGGAACATAAAGCGGGATTTCTGGAGAGATGATGCTCTCATCCGTTTCCCTGTGATAAACATCTCCCACAACTCCACATGCACTACCTAGTGCAGTACAATCCGGTTCCTTCAGGGTGGTCTTGGACAACGAGAGCTGCAGTTCGACCACAGATCCTCCGCCGACTTGTGCATAAGTTCCTCTTTCTTTACTCCTAGATGCAGGTATTTGAATTTGGGTCCGGACCAATCGAGTTCCCACAGCACTTTCTCCATCGCTGTCTGTTTCCCCATAATACGCTTCATCCTGGGACTCGGAAATGTACAGGTCCTGTGGCTGAGATTCATGAGGCCTCGATGGAGAAGGGATCCGAAAAGTAGTGCTAACCAGTTCAACGCCCTCTTGAGGTTGGCTACAGCATCTACAGGGAGAAGATCACGGTAAAATAACGTTAATCCAGTTGTTTAAACTACAATATTTAACATCAAGCTAATCATTACAGTTTTTCTCAGTGGCTTTGGTGCATTTCTCACAACACTATTTACATTTGCACAATAGCTGATGCATTTCTCAAAACAATTAGTCATTTGTGCACATCATAGTAGCAGTTTCTCATTCCTTCCAACAAATTCCAGATGCTTTTGGACATGCATCAATCGCTTTCATACAACTCTCTGCTATTCATAACATTATCATTTGCTTCTGTCATGTCAGTCAAAAGGAACTAAACTTGCAAATGCTGAATAGTCACTCCATTTAAAACTAATAGTCCTCATTTCATTACTTACAGTTTTTCTTGTTTGCCTTGATGCAGCCGTCAACTGAAACTCCACATTTTCGAAACAGTTAACACACAGGCCTAAACAGCGGCCTCATGGTCAAAATGAAACATTATGCTTGCAAAATGCACATACCGTGTCAAAACATTTAAAATATGCAACAAAAGCTAATTTTACCTTCAAACTACACAACTTGCAAACAAGTATTTGAGCACTTTTAATTAATCATTAGACAATGGACAACAAAAAACAAAACACAGAACTCAGTGTGAATTCTATTTGGGCTGTCAAATTTGCCTTTTTGTAAAGAATTGGATCCAGAATAAAAAAATGCTTTGATTAAACTTATATTGAATTCATGACATTTTTCAAACTGTGGCTGAAAACTGAAATAACGTAAAAAAAAAAAAAAAAAAAAAAAAAAAAAAATATATATATATATATATATATATATATATATATATATATATATATATATTTTATTTTTTTTTTTTTTTTTTATTTAAATATAATTATTTTTCTTCCCCCCCGAG